GGAGAGGAAAAGGAAAGGGGAGGGAGAAGGGAGGGATGCAATAACGGTTCTCGCAGACATATATGAGGTATATGCACCGTTCCATCTTCCCTGTGAAGGCTAATGTTTGAGGGAGTGTGCGAAGTGTGGTGCACCCGCACCAATTGCAAGCACTTGAGAAGGCAGTTCGATTTTGCAGAGGGAGGAGTGCAGTGGGACGCATTTTACGTACTAATGATCGTCTTACCTTCCACCTATTGATTTGCTGCGCAATGATGTGCCTCTTGCACATCTTGGTGGGGAGGATGGTCTTGCTGGAAGACGCAAACTGGAAGTGCATTTACAGACTTATCAGTGAGTGGAAATGCGAGTGAGCGAATGCACCACTCAGTGGCGTCAAGTATTCGACTGGGACTGAGGTCAATTCTGCGATTATTTTAGATGTGCCGGAAATGAATGTGAAGCAACGTCACCGCGATCAGTGTACGATGGAGACGGAAAAGCATCGCGGGGATCAGGATCAAAAGAGGAGAAATGGGAGAGGAAGTAAGAGGAGGAGGAGGAGGAGAAGGAGGAGGGTATCAGTATCGCTAACTGGAAGTAGAGAACCATCACCGGAATGTAAAGAGAGAAGGGATTGGTACCGGTGCTGGAGACAGCTGTGCTCTCTTGTTAACAATGTGCAGTCGCACTCTTGATGCGTTTGAGGTTCAGCATAGCGCTGTTATCCTACCTCCGTCTTCCATTTCTAGCATTCCGTGAGGCTAAGAAAGAGACGGGACCGAATTGGAAGTGCAAGCTGAGTTGAAACTTCTGCTCCTCGGGTAGTCACAGCCATTGATATGAGGCAGCGGGAGTTGCAATCGTCTACTAACAAATGGGATCGAGTTAGTTGTCACGAGCACTCATTCAGCATGGTGATGGTGAGGTATAAGAAGGATAGCCGTTATGAAGAGTCACCTTCTCAGGCCATATCCATGTCAAAAGGAGATTCGCAAAGGAAGTATGTCTGTCTTAAAAGGTCAGTTTGCATCACTGACATGCGAGCACAGATGCCATGGAGAATGACGTTTGTGGAGTGTGTGAAACTCCACTCAACTATCACTATTACACTTCACTCAAATTCGCTTCACTTCAACCTACATAAACGCTGCACCACTGAGGAGAAGGTTGCCTCAAAGGCTTCGATGGCATCATCATCCTCCAGTGCATCATAGGTCACCTGTGCGGAATCACTCTACTTCAGCGTGACGATGTCCTCATTCGAGGCAGCGCCTATAGTGATGGCATGAAAATGGAAGCATATGCTCGACTCTGCCCCCCGCACACAACCGTGTTGGAAGTGGATTCGATGCGAAATTAGGAGTATGTATTAAGCGAACTTGTAGCCAAATCAATTCACCCGCCGAATGCGAGTGGGTTTCACAAATGGAACATGGAAATGCATATGCCAACACAAAAACCGATCCCTCCTCTTACCCTCTTTCTCATCTCATACCTTTGCTCTTAACCCTTCTTCCACTCCTTG